CATCCGCGAGGACGTCGTGCCCAGATATGCTCATCTAGATTAATTTAACCACCCAATTACAGTACTCCAATATGTGTGTCTCAGATTTTTTTGCATTTCCGCTTATCTTTACACTGGTTTTTGTAATGTTTTTTTATTTCGACATTGTAGTTATTTTTTTCCGTACTTATCGTGCACGTATTGTTAGATTAAGCTCTCAGAAACTTGTGTTGTTTCTAAGTAATAATGGTTTATGAATTAGTTTATCGAAATAGTGACAGCTTGTTTGCTAGGTGGATCATTAGCAGATCTGATAAGTATTCCTCGAGTTATTCCTCTTATATATTTGGAGCCATTTCTTGTAGTTTTGTTAGTTTTACAAGTGTTTATATAAATAATTACTAATAATACTCTACCCAGTTTTATACATATTGCATTTGTAACGTATTAGTAAGAAGACTGATTTTAAAACAAACATCCAAGTGATCTCTTCCGCCATGGGCTCCAGAACTTTTTTATGTTTTGTACAATTTTTTATTAAAAAATTTTTACAGCTTTGGAAATAATAATCTGATAGTTTATAAAAATGTACTGACATGAATACTCAATGTAATTTTAGTATTTGTATGAAAAATTCATCGTAAATTAATTTTAGTATTAGGATATTATTTGATTCTGTGTCGTCTCTAATTGTTGAATGTGATTTATTTTAAAAGTCTGAATAATCCAAAGAGTGATTTTGTCAATACCGGTAACCAAAAAGCTTTTTGTAATGTATAAACGCTTTTACCATTATCATTGTAATATGTTCTTGCCATTAGTTTTACTTTGTCTTGCCATATTGTAATAATGGATTACAATAGAAATACCAAAGTATGTTAATTTGAACGAGATGGCAACCGAATCTATATCAAAAACTGACGCTCTCTTGATGGTCAACACCCACCACGTACCACTCGCTCTTATTAATTATTTTAAGTTATTACCCAATTAGTATTACAATTAGTTATAAACGCGAAGCTTCTTTTGTAAATTGGTACCTTAAATAAAAAGACTGGCTCATAATGTTGTTTTTTTAGTTTTACCCAAAATAAATAATCTATTGCTGTACTCAACACCTTAAAACTTTGGATTGATACAAATATAATGTATGTTAATTAAAAGTTAAAAATGCTATCACACTGATGTCTAGCAATTATTGTTTTTTTTTTTTCATCTACATCACAGATACTTAAACGGCAGTCAGGACAGATTTTAGTTAAGCCTGTGGATCTTATTTCTCGTATATCTATTGTCTCGGGTATAAAAAAAACTCGGTCTTAGATATTAAAAAACTTTTTATCAATGCCACTATTTATCAACATAATTACGTATGAAAAGTACACAACGTACATAATTCAAATGAAATAAAACCTAAACAAATTAATAAATTAACAACGTCGGAAACAAACATTCATCAAAACTGTTAATAAATTAAACATTCATTCAAAACCACAATTAAAAAATAATTGTTTATAAATTAGATTTTTTGCATTTAAACATGCAATAAAATAATTATTAATGATTCCGTTCTCTAAGAGGAGAAACAACTGTTTGAATATTTTCTTTTCCAATTTTAACGGTTTTTCGTGCGAAAGATGGAGACTTTGGCGCGACTTGCATCTGATCTAGTTCTTTTTTCATTTTGTCCATCATAGAAGACTGCTTTACCATCATCATCGTAAGTTCTTCGTTTTCTTGCCGCAGTAGCGACAACTCAACGACTACCGATTGCTGATCTTGAATCTGAAAAAACAAAAACAGGTCAGAAAGATAGTCTTTTAATTTTAGTCTATAAATTGTCTATTACAAATTAAATCATGACATACCTGTTTCTGCAGCCGTTCGTTGTCAGTCTCGAGACGTGCGATCTCGTTAGCGGCGTGCGCGAGTAGTGCTCGCGACTGCTCCGCTACCGCTACCGCCTGCCCCGCCTGCTCCCGTGCAACATTACATAACCTATGTTTCTTCTCCACCTAAAAATATATAGAAATTTACATTCTCAGAAACACTTAACATGAATAGATTGAAGATATACTCAAAAGTAGTTAAAATTTTCACCTCATCACGAAGCATTTGAATTTGAGAATCGGATTCCTTTTTCAATATCTCCACATCTTCAATGAGCTCAGTTTTGATAGTGCCGAGCTCTCTGTGCGCCTCCTTCTCTACATTCTGAAGGCTCTCAATCAGCGTTACATTATGTTCCATTATCCGATTGTGTTCCTTTGCCAGAGCCGCTTTAGATTTCAGAATATTAACCAAGGCATCTTTGTACTCATTACATTCTAATAATGTATTATCTAAACTTATCTTGTATGTTGCTAGTTCACTTTCCATGGCCTCTTTTGAGTTATTCAATGCTTGTACTTTAGCTTCCAATTGCTCTAATTCTGTATCAGATTCTCTCAAGCGTGTTGTCAGAACTTGTACAATATCCCTCGTAACAGAGAGAGACATTTCAAACTTATTCTTATCTTTTATTGCTCTCTCAACTTCCAAAGTTAATTTGTTAACTTTATTTTCGTAATCGATTTCGGTTTTCTTAGATTCTGCTTTTAATTCCACTAACTCTTGAGCAAGTTTAGATTTTTCAATGTTTAAACTTTGATTTTCCTTTTCCAAGTAAAGTACTTGATTGTGAGCCTTACATTTGTGATCTTCACTAACACCTAATTTATATTTGAGTTCATTTATTTCACTTTCTAAATGTTGTATCTGCTGTTCCTTCAAAGACCAATGTTCTTGAATACTTTGACTGCGCTCTTCAAACTGTATTTCGCATAATTTTAATTTTTCATCAGCAGCCTCTTGAACTTGATCTAACTTTGCTTTCATTTCCCTTTCGTTTGTGACCAATTTGTCTTGTAAATTTGAAATCACAGCATCTTTTTCTGCAACCAATTGTTCCTTGATTGAAGCTATCAAAGACATATAATGTGATTTTATGTTTTCTTGCTCTGTTTTACATTTACTAAGGATTGCTTGCTTCTCTTCATCCATTTTTGTTTTCATACTTTCCAATTCTGCTTTGTATTCCCGTCTTATGCTCTCATTGGCCTCTAGAGCTAAGGCATGATGGCCTTTTACCATCTCCAACCTCTGTTTTGTTTCTTCAAGGCACATATTCATGTCAGTTAATTTGTTCTGCAAATCTTGACACAAGCTATCTCTAATAACTATAACTTCTTCTAATGCTGTTAGTTCCACTTGTTTACTGCTTACTTCATTCTCTAATTTATCACATTGTGATTCCAATTTACTTATCTCTTCCTGCAAGGTTTTAATATTCACAGCGGAATCTGAGTTCTTAAATGTTATTTCATTTTTCTGGATATCTGTATCACATAAAGTGATTTGACATAGTTTTTTTTCTAAACTATTGACATCTGTATTAGTTTCCGTTGGTAAAGTTGATTCAACTAATTTTCTTTGTAAAGCTGCAATTTCATTTTTCAAATCTTCAATTTGTTGATTATATTCTGTAATTGTTTCATCTTTATTTCTGGAACAATGCATATTTAAAATTAATTACCTGGTACAAAAATATTATAACAAAAAATGGAGGATGTTTATTAAAATAAGTCTAAGGATACCTGATTTCAACTTCTTGCTCCTTGATAAGGTCATCAGGTACAATTGTGGCTGACTTTTTAGTAATATTTTTCTTATTATCATTGCTATTCTTTTTTAATGAACTTGTTACTTTTGATTTAGTAGCTGTATAGGGCTTAACTGGTTTTGGCTGAAAATTTAAATTAATTGACCATTAATTCCAGTGAGATTCTGACAATAAAGTATAATGTATACTAAAACTATATAGTTTTTAAGATATTTTGGTAGTATGAACTTACAGTTACAAATGACTTGACACTGGAAACAGAACTACAATGTGATTGTGTATCACCATTTATTTTACTCGGGGTAACCAGTAATTTTTGTTGCAATTTTGGAGCCGACATCTTTGTTTTCTGACTAGATTCATTACTGGACTGAGTTTTATTTGTACCTGTAATGAGAATATTCTTAACATGTGACTTTTATGTAAACTATTTGATGGAATCTATATTTAAGACATGTGACCAAAATATGTTGAACACTTGTTTTAATTTATATTTGTTAATCACTCTAGGCGTATTTATCCAGTCAATGGAATATCGTATTAAAAATCAGCTGACCCTACATATGGGATTTCTAAAAAAAGACAAGTTACGTCTAAAATGGAATAAACAAAAACATAATTAACACTCCGTAACGATATATAATTTTTGAATCTTTTTGCAACCTTCACTTATTATTCTTAACATTAGTTAAAATATCGTTATTACTTACCTAAACGCAAAATCGGTTCAAATCTTTTAGCTTTTGAAAACATACTGAAAGTAAACTTCGACAAATTAAACGATATAGGTTCTGTAGAATTCGTCAATACGAGAATTTTCAAACTATTTTCACTTTAATGGATTCTACTTCTGTACAAGCTCGTTAACTATGCTTTTGTATCCTGTGAACTTTACAAAGGATCGCGCGCGAAATAAACGCGCAACAAAAATACCAGTTGCTTTCATCAAAAAACCGTTAAATTACGTTCCTTTCTAGGTAAGACTGAATTCTATGCAGAATTTTTGTGATTCTTTATGGTAATTTGATAATGTTTATTTATAAAATTAAAACAAATTCTATAAACAGTAGTGCAATAAGTTATTTGTTTTGAATTATCATAATACTTACAATAAATCTTGCGATAAAGAAATACTACAAAATTTCTTTTCGATTGATACGAATACGAAAGAATTCTGATATTTTTGACCATACGGCGGGCGCGGATGATTATATAATATCATATTAAACTGTCTGCATTAACATGTTAACATTTAAAGTTATATAAACTGCTTCGAAATATTCAGATTCAAGCAATCTCCGATTTTTCAACTTGTCATTATTTTTTTTTATTAAAATATTGGACAGTTTGATAAGCAATCCTTTGAAAAAACGTTACGATGGTCGACGCCGCTAACTGATTAAATTTAAATAAATGTAATGTATAAATAAATAATCACGAGACTTGCTTTCATTGTAAATATAATTTAAAAAGTTTAATAAAAAAAATGTGCAGCCCATTTCTTTAGAAATATATTTATTAATTATTACACACTTATCAAGATATCTTTGCTCATATTTACATAGATGGTGGAGGTGGTGGTACTGGTAGTAAAGGTGGAGGAGGAGGTACTCCCATAAGAGGAGCACCAGGAGGAGGAGGTAATCTGATGCCATGATTCTCCCATAATTTGGGATGGGATGGTGGCATTCGTAAAGGTTCAATTTTAAATGCAAATTGCAAAAAGAATTGTTTTGTATCCTTATTCCAGTGAGTCCAAAACTTGGTGTCATGCTTCTCTACCTCGCGACTTGGCACTTTAAATGCTATAGTCTCATAAGGCTCTGCGGCAAAGAGCAGGTACTGCCACCTGCGGTCTGGGGGCTCTATTTTCTGCTCATAAGCAGACATAAAGCGATGTCTTGGCTGCACACCTTCAGCAATTTCTGAAAAAAAAAAAAACAATTAAAAGATTAAATAATCTTGTTTTAAAGAACATAAAATAACTACGGATTTATAGATAGAATAATTTTTACAATCATAACTTTTGATTTTTTTAGTTGTGTAACATAAAAAGTTGTGTTTCTTAAAAAAGCCATAAGGGTATACTTATTGAACTCTTAATAATGTACAGCTTTTTGCTTTATTGAGAATTATAAAAAATACATGAGGCATAAAAGGTTAAGTGAAAAACAAAAATCAAACCTGGATAATCAACTTGAAAAAGCAAGCTTTGTTGGCCACTATCAGGGTCTTTTTGTTTTGTTACTCTATAACCAGGCCTACCAATTTTCACAAACTTCTTAGGCTCGATTCTTGGTTTTTCGGGTGCCAGTTGTTGTGGTGCTTCTTTGGCCTCCTTGGCAGCTCTCCGAGCCAAATTAGCTTGATGTTTTTTACCTTGCGTATGTGCTAAATAGCTTCCCTCGTTGTTATGAAGAGTTAAACAAAGTTTGCATTCATAAGACCCTGAAAATAATTTTCATTAATATTAAGATGACAAAACCTAAAGAGTACGTACTACGACAGGTTAAATAACTTACCCAAATGATTTTTCATAAAGTATGGGTCTTTATTTAAGTCAATAGTTTCCAAAGCTAGTTGACGAAGCCTTTCGCGTCGATCTCGGTTGCTTTCGGACCAAGAGGCTACGCCCCCACCCCCGGTTTTACCACCAGGTCTATTTTGGAAGTCCATTGTTAATTCCTTTAAGAACTTTTTAGGTAGATAGGAAAAACGAAATTAATTCTTTTTAATGATAGAAAACATTTGAAATTGTTGCAGATAACCAAAAATAAAACGCTATAACGGCGTCATTAGTGACATTCTGACATTGACGTTTGTTTTTGTTTTTCCAATAATGTTTAGGCCCTTGGATCTAACCTATTTGAGCCATTATTAAAATATTTAGTTTAAAATAAGGAAAAAATCAATGCAAAAAATACATTATTTATGTATACTGCTTAGAAAAAGCAATTTCAATGACGGCACATAATATTATTAAAATAAGGGACGCGCAAACATTCAAACAGAAACTGTAAAACAGGAGTAAACAAATATTTTTGTTAGGGCAACAAATGAAACGTCAAATCGTTTGGAAATTTGCCTTTTCTTTTTAGTTGTCAAAATAAGCGGAAGGTAATATTTTAAACTAAATCTCTTTTTATTTATTGAATCTTTGAGTAAAAGTGAATTATTACTACGAAGTTATTTTATCTTAATGTATTAATGTCGTACGTTGAAGTTATTTCATGAAGATTTGAATATATGTGTTAAAAATATTGTTTTAGGTAGGCCGTCAAGATGTTGATGCCTAAACAAAACCGTGTTTCTATCTATGAATACCTATTCAAAGAAGGAGTTATGGTAGCCAAAAAGGACTACCATGCACCTAAGCATCCAGATCTAGAAAAGATTCCTAACCTGCAAGTAATAAAGGCTATGCAGTCCCTCAAATCTAGAGGTTATGTCAAAGAACAATTTGCGTGGAGGCATTTCTACTGGTAAGT